TCTCAGTCTGGAGGCCAGGTACCCTGACTGATATTTTTATGGCATTCCTCAGTGTACAGAAAAATACTGGTGTGGTACCTTACAGTGTTCTGTGGAGAGATTGAGAGTGTAGGGACAGGATGAAAGCAGGAGAGGCTGACTGCTTGAGGACAGACCAATGTGTAGAGCAGTGAGCTGAGTTGTAAGAAGCATGGCTGTTGCAGTCATATGGACAAAAATGTAAGCCTGAAGGGTATGAACACAAGTCAGCGGGCAGTAGGATCACAGACAGATGGTAGAAAGGGTGGCTAAGAGGCAGTAGCAGGATGTGAATGTTAGGGAGATGGCCTTAGATATTTGTGGAGAAGCTGCAAGTTTGGATGAAAGTCTAAGACGCAGATACAGGGGCCATGATTTAAGAGTTTTGTTACAGATATAGAACTGACTGTGAGCTAGGAGGATATGTTAGTTGTAGGAGAAGAAGTTGAGAGCTGTGTTTTCAGGCACAAAGGCTAAGGTTTTCAGGAGTGGAATGTCTGGCAAGTGGTAGCAAATATGAGGGTTTTTTAATTGCTTGTTGGATGGGACTAAGTCGCTTGGACTACGGCCACTTCTGGACTATTGTACCAGCCCCAGATGATAGGTCAGGGTGATTGTGGAGCAATTGGTGGAATGAAGATTGGCAGGGAAAACCGAAGTAATCGGAGAAAACCTGCCCCACCGCCACTTTGTCCACCACAAATCCCACTTGACCAGACCCGGGATCGAACCTTGGCTGCTGTGGTGGGAAGCCAGCGACTAACCGCTTGACCTATGGTGCGGCCCTAAATATGAGGGTTAGTTGGAGATGCAAAGATGTAGGGCTGGAGCCTGAGATGCAGGAAGGAATGCTGACAGGAGAGTATGAAGAGCCATGAAGACTATCCAAGAGTTAGGAGGTGAGTGACAAGTGGTGAACAGGGAGTCAGTCAGAAAGAGAGGATGAGTGATGTGTGAACAGGCAAAGAGTTAGTAGATGAGATTGGAATGTGGTAAGGAAGGCTGTGAAGTGAGAGATGCTGAGAACTGACTGGAGAGATTAAGGTAGAAGGTGAGGTTGAGAGGTCAGTGGACAGGTGGAAAGGTAGCAGGAGAAACAGTGGACAGGCCGAATTGTAAGATGGAACACGTGAGTGCCTTGAAAATGCAGAAACCTAAGAGGGGAGGCTGAGATATAAGTGAACAGGCTGACAGTTGGAAGGAGAGGGTTTGATGTAAGAGCAGGCCAAGATGTAGGAACAGATTTGGAAGGTTAGAAAGGAGGCTGTCAGCCAAGGGAAGGACAGACCAGGCAGAAAGAAGACAGATTCATTTGGTGATGGACAGGGAGAAGGCCAGAAAGAAAAGCTTGATTAAGTGGTTGGCATATCAGAAGTTAGCAGAACAGGGAAGATGTAGGAGGAGAGGCTAAGGGGTTTATTGTGAGGCAAAGACTTAGGAGGTGAGACTGAGCACTAATGGGTAGTTTTGAGGAGAAACTGGGAAATATGTGGCCAGGATTAAATTTTGCAATGTGGGCCAAGTGGCAGCATGACAGTTGAAAAAACAGAAGAAAAAGTTATGAAGTAGGATAGGCTGAAATTCAGGAGTGCAGACAAACAGCCAGGAAGGCACGCTGAGAAGTAAGGTGAAGAAATTTAAAATTATGAGAATGGGCTAAAAAGCCATAGACTGGCTGAGATGTGGGAAAACCCTCTGGGGGATGGAATATAAGACTGGGAGTGTGGAGGAGAGGATAGGCCAGAAGACAGAATGGTGGACATTTTGTGAAGAGCCAACAGGTAGGAAGAGTAGATCAGATGAAGTAGAAGATACTGCAAGGTAAGCGGACAGACAGAATTGTGTCAGTAAAGGATTCTGGTAAGACAGTACAACAGACTGAAAGGTTTCACCCTAGACTGAGAGTATGGAGGGATTGCCGAGATAAAGGAACACAGGTTGAGTGATTTTGGTGGAGCTGAGAGTGAAAGAACAATTATAGGGAAGGGGAGCTGAGAGGTAGGATATCAGTGGAAGAAGTAAGTGGGACCAAGAAATAAAAGAGCAGCAGAGAAAGGCTGTTGATTATCATTGTCATGTTTATGGTGTATGTCGGCGTCAAGAGAATCAAGGCGATTGACTTAATCGTTCTGATGGTAGTGGTCGCTGTAGTGAGCGTGGTGCTGGTTGTTGTCACCGTCGTCTCTATCATGTCCATCTTTGTGTTGGTCGTGGTGGTAGTGGAGGTTGTCATAGCCGTCGTGATCGTAATCACATAAGTGATCTTCGTGGTCGCCTTCTTGGTGGTGGAGGTGGTGATGGGGGAGAGGGCCTAAAGGAGGGAAGATAGCGTGAGATTTCGGCGGTGATGCGGGATAAGGGTGCCGGCCGAAAGTGGAAAAATAAGCCGAGAGTTTTGCTACCATGCCATGATATACCTGAGGAGAGGCTGGGTATTTGGAGGAAGGGGCAAGAGTTTGGAAGATGAGGTGAGAGGAAGAAGTCGAGACCTAGAGGTAGGCAGGCTGAAAGGTTGGAGGACGGGCAGTGACTTTAACAGGACAGGCAGAGGTTTAGGATGTACTGCTTAGATGTAGATGTACAAGGTAACAGGTTTGCAGGAAGAAAACTGGCAAGTAGCTTAGGCGGAGAGTTAGGACCACAAGCTGCGAGATAAGGAGCGAGGCTGAGCGATGGCGAAGCCAAAGGAAGGGCAGATACGGAGAGGTTTGAGGACATGTCGATATTTGGGAGGGGAGGCTGTTAGAAGGGCAGAAAGTAAGATCGGCTGTAATATAGGACAGGCCGATAAGTAAAGATATCGCTTCGTTGAAGCCTGTTCGTATAATGGGTGCCCCCCCCCCCAAGTGCAGTACATTGTTAAGTGGTTCATTCAAACCTGGCAGCTGCGGCTGATTACCAGCCCCTACATTAGCGCGGTACGTCTGTCCTTGAAGCAATGTTACTGAGACAGCCAAGGTGTTATTTACTACAAGCTAGTACACTGCGCGTCGATCACTGGCCGCGCTGTCTAAGGCGTGAACTGTCTTCGACCGCTCGCACACTTGAATCGTGGGTTCGAATCCCACTCAAAGCATGGATGTCTGTCTTCTTTAATTTTGTGTTTGTGTTGTCCTGTGTAGATGGCGGCATTGCGATGGGCTGATCCCTCCTCCAGGGAGTCCTCCCGACTCTCTAAGATTAAGAAACTGAAATGAAACGTTTCACGAATGCCCTGTGCCCCAAAGTGGGAGCAACAGGAAAAAGAGAGTACATTGCGCAATATTGCAATGCCACCCGTCTTTACAGAAATGGAAGGTTATTGATTAATTGAGGCTATTAGCAGTTTTCATGCACTGTACGAGTACTATTGTATAAGTAAAAACTTTAAAAGTCTTAAAATAAGTGAGAAGGAAGGCTGATTTAGCAGTAACTCCCCAAGATTTGCATTCAGAAGATGCTCGGCTTCAATCTTTGCCGGGTCACGGCTATATTCAGCTTGTGTTACTCTTCCTCAGCTCCTTCAGGCAAATGTTTGGTATAGTGCCTGATTAGGCCACGACCACATCCTATAAGTTCTTTCTGATGCACCAATCGCCTGGCGCTGAATGGTCCAGACTGACGGCACCGTTAAACAAAAAAAAAAAATTATACCAGATTGTGGTGACAAAAGTTGGAAAAGGTGGTAAACATAACACATTTCCTTTTCGTACTGCTCCCCCCTCCCCTCCAATGGATTTTGAGCAAACAATGTACTGGAATTTGGTGTATATGCATGCCTATGTGCTCAGTACCTGACACAATTTCCTCCGCTTTGAAGCCCTCAGATCCACCGATTTTCCCATCCAACCGCTCGTTCTTCGTTGTAATTTTTATTGCAAGCTTCTTCAACATAAAACCAAATGAGTTACGTTGAGAAGTAGGAAGACGGCGCGTGGTGGTGTGCGCTGAGCGTGCTGAGTGCTCGGGGGATAGGGGGAGAGTTATTAGAAATGGTTGAAATTTAGTATGTCCAGGTGACATTGCAGGATGGGCCGGCAGTAGTAAGGGGTGGGCCATGAAATCCGGCCCATGCACTGCGTCCTTCAGTGATCTATTGTGCTTCCCCTTTGGATTAACCCTCTATTAATCTTACACTTCGAATGAAATGTAGGACTTTTATTTATGGGGACGTCATAAAAGTCACTTGGTTCAATGAAGAAGTGACCCAGATGACCTCACAGTAACACAGGATATGTGTGACCGATTCTTCTTCTTGTAGACACTCTTCACAGGTTGGGTCATCTGTCGGTCCCAACTTCAAAAGGTGTCCTTTTAGGTGGCAGTGTCCAGGATGGGCCGGTGTGTAAAAGTAACATTCGCATAGTCGGGGGGCCGGAGTGTGTCAGGCAGTACAAGCTGAACCGTAGGAGATCCTGAAGAGGACTCAAAGGTCGGAAGAGAGGTCGAGATCTGTAACGGCAGTATCCTCAATAAATGATCGTCAGTGGCATTGATATATGCACAGCCATAATGTGTATGGTGTGCATTACACAGGCAGTGTGACTGCACGCAGCGGTCCCACACTGCGGCAGAGCAAAGTTACAGCTTCACTAACAAAATTAACAAAAAATGTAGGTTCAAAAATAAATCATTCCAAGCTTATCTTTACACTCTCGCTATCTCACGAAATAATTAATACGCGTCCTGTTTGTGTAAAACCAGTATGTAGCATGCAAATATTTCCCTGGGTAAGCCCAGATTACCATGACGTCATTGCGCGTGATGTTTTTTGTGTGCGTTTTGCATTTATGAGGTGACAGAGTTATGTGCTTAACTGCTAATCGTCCGATAATAGCGGATATCTTCACTACGTTGAAGCTGGGAGGGATAAAAGAACATTTTGCATACCAAGGAAAACTTGGGTGTGACTGTAATATGCGTGAGAGAAGAAGAATGAGGGGGGGGGGAGATATGGGCTATGGATGTTGTAGCCCGTAACGTGAGTGTGTCTGCTGCCTATATAAGAGCCATCTTTGTAGAGGGGCGTAGGTGTAACTTGTTGAAACGTCATTGCGTGTCTATCTTCAGCCACAGAGGACTACCGGCGTAATGAAAGGAGTAGCCTTCAGTGCTATCCTAGCAATCACACTGGTTACCATTGTTGAAGCTGAAAGATCGGGTTAGTATAAATTCTTTGCTTTAACAGAACAGTGCATTTATTTTCTTATATTTAATGCCAGGAAACTGAACCCTCTCGTGTTGAGTTTCATTTAGCAGAACTGCCTTCCCTAGTCTGAATACGAGTATAATGACCATGGTAAGTTCGACATAAGTGACCCATGCGTAAGTTGGAAGATAATGTTAAAATGGATCTTAAACAGAATAGCGCATAGTATGGTCTGGATTCATCTGGCTCAGAACTGAGATCACTGTAGAGCTATTTTGGAGATAGTAATGAACCTCCGGATTCCATAAACTGTTGGGAAATTCTTGAGAAACTGAGCGACTGGTGGCTTTCCAAGAATGACTCAGCTCCTCTGAGTTAGTTTAGTCAGTTCAGTTATACATAACTTACAAATTCGTAAACTACAGCAAATAATTGAGTTTTCGGAGTAAAGCCAGTCGAAGTTTTCCTTTCATTGACATTAAATCTTCGGTCTCTAAGTTAGGGGCATCGCATCTAACCTGCCGCTGTGTTGATCACAGAATAATTCAAACTCTGAAAATATTCAGAGCAGAATTTGTTGGCGCTCATGGGAAGGAAAAGATTCGTTTGTATCGTGGAAACAGTATGAGATAGTTTAGGGATCAGTAGTGTTGGGAGGACATCAGCAGACTGCTGGGATGTATCAATGTTATATTTTTCTTCATACGTTCTTTGTAACCATTCCTTAAGATAAACTTAAACGCTAAAACATAATTATGGCATATCCATCTTCCTATTCAAATGCTGTACATAGAAATATTTTGATGAATTACGGCAAAAATTGGTATCCATTAAATGTTGTATGCACATATGCGTTGTATCAGTCCAGTACAGTCAACATTTCACGGGAATCTTGGGTTTAATTTTATCTGCTCTCCCATAAAAGTGCGCCATACAAAATTCACACATTCACACGTCTTCAGTATTCAAGAGTTACATGTGAAGTTTTTCGATATGGTGAACAAAGATGTAACAACCGATACTTCTGCAGTTAGGTACTCTGCCGCGGGTTAACTTTGCCAGCAACAGAACTTATGCCTGAACTGTTTAGACAGAATCAGTTTATGTTATTATTCAGCTGAACATATGCGTTAAAAATGCATCCGCAAAAGGAAGAATTCCTCTTCACAGTCATAAGAAATAACCGCAACACTGCATCATTATTGAAACAAATCTTATGATATAGCTTTCTGTTTGTGCAGCAGACAAGTAGGTTGCATGCTGCAACTGGTTATTCAACTTCGCTCTTTCTCTTATGGTCATACAATGTGTTGAAGAGTGAACACACAGATATGTGAGGTTATAGAGGACGAGACATCTGCAGAACTACCCATACCTCGTGGTACGTAATTATGATTCAAAGACAATCTTTCAGGCGTGCCAGTAACATGGGCGCATCGGGATGACTGCATCAGGTCCTCGTTCTATACCGTATACATGGCACGCAGTCAATATAGTGTACATGTGCGGGGCAGGCACCAACAAAAGTTGACATGATTTACTTATCGATTATTCAGCGATACGTCTCTAAATAAAATATGTAGTCTGCTAAGGTAACGATGAAAGGCACAGTCATGGCCAATTTCAAGGTACGACTTCAGCATTCGCGTATAAGGAGTGGGTAAGACCATAATTATTCTTAGTCGGGATAGCTGGTAGCTTGGGTGAAATTTCAAATGGAGGCCTCTCAAACATGACAGAAGAGTAATACGTGAAATCCAAAGTGTTGTTCGCTATTCTCTGCCAGGTAATCAGAGCGGTTGACACTAGTAACAGAACATGAAATAGACAGTAAATCATTAAATTAATAGAGTACACAGTATAGGTACGCTGTTTAACTGTTCCAACGCCATGGGGACAGTGACTGGAATTTGTTTGTGATAAGTGGGGCTCAGGAGTTTGTTACATCAGTCAGCTTAGTGTGAACTGAGATTCTTAGTTGTCGCATTCGATGCCTGTATCGACCACGACCACCTCGAGTACCACGACTACGCCCATTACTGCTTCTGCATTACCATTACCACTACCACCAACAAAATACGCCGAAACCACGAAAATTAAGATCATGACCACGACGATGTCAAAAATCATTATGGCCACGACCACAAACACCACTACCATGACTAAGACGATGACGAAACCATCCTATCATCTCGATGACAACTACCACATTGACCACGAAGAGCACGATGACCACGACCACCAGCACAAGAACAACAACCACGACGACCACCACCATAGCAATCTCCACGACGGCGCCTAGTAACACCATAACGACCATCGCCACCATGATCGTAGCAAACCATCTTCCCCACCACCTACAGTCACCATTAACAACCACCGAAACTAGCAGTACCACCCACCACTACCAACCACAACCATCGTCATTAACCAGTACCACCAAGAACCACGAGCAAGCACTCCGTCCAAACACCACGACGAAGCATCACCGACCACAACCACAACCGTAAACCGTCAAATTAGCATTTCGGAGCTCCTACACGCTCTAAGTTTCCCAACCACCAATTGTCCTTGATTTTCAGTGACAGGTCAATGAGTAGCACATATTGTGCTACGTAACCACTTCCACACTCCTGTTATTTTCTCTCGTTTCGTCGTTATCAGGTACCCTCAATCCTTGAGAAGGAAGTATCAAGTTTCACACCTATATAGGACGAAATAACTGTATTCGAGAAAATCTTTTCGGGTATACAATATTTACTGCGTTTTTATGAATTATTACGTACTTGCTAATAATGATCGCTCTTCCATCTGATTCGATGCCATTCGGCATTTTCAGTTCGAACGAAGTCGTTGTGGAACAATGAAATACTGACGGCAAAGGAGCAGAGCCTTCTATTTCTCTGGAATGCTGCATCGCAATATGCCGGTGGCAAACGCCGGTTTGTGCGTAACTAATTAAGCTCTACGCCACGGAGACGTATACATATGTACATATTGCAAAAGTCCCTAGTGTGGCTCATGTTACGACACTGGGGCCAGGAGTGACACATGTCAAGTGTACTTTTAAGCTTTGGTGAATTTGTTGTGTATATTTTACGAGGTCAAACGATTGTGTGATTTCGCTGCGTGCAAAGTATGGCGTATATTGCGTGTCTAAACAGTCAGCCCAGGAAGTATCTTCTAGCAGTACTCCAAAGTTAAACACCACCAATATTACAGACGGCAAACGAAAGTGATAACAGCCTCGATCTTGACACACTAGTTGCTGAAACCGTATCTTGATTTTATCGTGACAGTATCTTCTCGACCTCTGAAGTAGTAGCTACTGAAGGTTCCATACGAATTTAATTTTTCATTGTAGCTACATGAATGACCCATTGTATTATTCTGGTCGATATTGTCCTAACAAATTGAGGGGCTATGCTACAAGCCAGAAGGTCGCGGGTTCAAGTCTCGATGTGGTCATTGGATTTTTTTTTCAATTGACCTAATCCTTCCAGCAGCACTATGGCCCTGGGGTCGACTCAGCCTCCAACAGAGATGAGTACCAGGAGTTAATAAATAATTTTCCTGGGGAGTAAAGCGCGCCCGGCGCGTAAGGCTGACAAACTTATCGCCATCTTTGAGCCGATTGTCTAGATAATGTGGGATCCTCAACGTCTCACAACCCTAGGGCCTTCACGACCTGTTACAGGGATAGCTTTACTTACTTTTTATTATCCTAACAAAAGCAGGAGACATGCACAGAATTTTCATACATACATACATATACATATACATTTGCGTTTCAGATTATTCACAAATGTGCACAGGCACAGAATATAAAACATGTCAACAAGCCAACAAGACATTGGAAACTTGTACATNTAATTTTTTAAAAACTGTTCTACGTGATTCTCTGGGTTTCATTCCCATCATTATCCTGATGGCCCTTTTTTGTAAAAGAAAAATCTTCTTAGCCTCCCACGAGTTTCCCCAAAATACTATCCCATATCTCATAATTGAATGAAAGTATGCGTGATAAATCATACTTAGTGTTTCAATATTGCTATACAATTTCATGTTTCTTATTGCAAAGCATGCCTTGCCCAATCTGGACAGCATCATGAATTAATATCCTAAATTGCCAAGTTACTTCACCCCTTTAAGGTCCAAATATTTTCCTGAAGATAATCACAAATGTGGGTCCTTATGAAGGGCAGAATATGATGTGATGTAGAGAATTAAGACAGTAAGAAATTCAGTTGCTTTAACCCGGAGACTTCAATGCAGGTAAAACCAGATCAAACACCTATTGCGGAGGAGAAGCGCCAACAGTAGACTGCTGAAATTGTTGTCAGTGAATGTGTATATTGTATACATGAGTTTACTGTGACTATAAATTCAAAGAAATCAAATGCGTCTTCATGACCATAGAAAGAATCTATTTGGCTATTGAAATGTCGATAAGCACAAATAGATGGTAGTCAGGAAGTTGGCCCCGATTTAAAGACATTGAAAAGTAAGTAAATATTGAAGTTTTGTCACCAGAATGCTGGATAAAATCAAGACAGCTAATAGATTCCCTGAAATTGTGGTCAAAATTAAATAATTTGGAATGACAGTAGCAAATAAATTGTCACAGATGAGGAAAGAAGCGCAGATTAAATTCGGGGAAAGCTTGATCCACTCCAGTTCAGAATCACTTATCTCCACGCCTCTTATCTAAAAATATTATCTTAAAGGTATATAAAACAGTAAATTTGCCTGTAATTTTATGTGTGCTTGGAACTTAGTCTGTGCAATTAATGCAAGCGCATAGGCTGAGAAAACAGCGCCGAGGAAAAAATTTGGATCTAAGAGAACACTGCATAATAGGGAACTTATAACTTGTACTCCTAGCCAAATTTCATTAGAAATATCAAAGCAATGAAGCTTAGATGGGCCGACCATGTAGCACATATTGAAGCGAAGGGGGTGATTACTGGGTTTTGGCAGGAGGACCCGAAAGAAAGGGATCACTAGGGAGACCTAGAATATATGGGAGGACAAATGATATTAAAAAAATAGGATAAGGAGTGTGGACTGGATTTATCTGACTCAAGATGAGGGCTTTTGTTGGGCTCTTGTGGGCAAAGTAATAAAGTGTCGGGTTCTGGCAAGTTATGGGAATTTCTTGAGTGGCTGAGCAACACGCTGGCTCCTCAAGACGGACTCAGCTCCGTCCTGAAAGATCAGTGTAATGGACGCTTCATACTCGCATGACAATAGCTGTCTTTCACATGCTGTAAGTGTTCATATTGACTCACGCTGACTCACAAGTCATTACAAACAGAAATTAATTGTACCACGTACTGTATATATGTACTTATTTCCTTCATGGTTTAGAGAAAATATAAACGGAGTTATAGTAAGAGTAGAGATGTGTGCTACCGTCTGTAGCAACATTTTAACGTTGAAAACGCTAATTTACGAGGGTACAAATGGAATGAAACAGTTTTTCTTTTAATTCGCTAGTGGTGGGTGGAGTCCAGCTGAGTCCACTGGGCACGGCGGCCAATGATTGACCTATTTTAACTGCCCTGGGTGATTATGATGATTGAGAATTTGGTGGAATGAAGAATGACAAGGTAAACCGAAGTACTCGGAGAAAACCCGCCCCAGCGCCACTTTGTTCACCACAAATCCCACTTGACCAGACCCGGGATCGAACCCGGGCCGCCGAGGTGGGAAGCCAGCGTCTAACTGCTTGAGCTATGGCGCGGCCATGAATAAAACCGTTAGTAACAGAATTTGTAACGTAAGTAACGAAATCTATAACAATTTGTAATTATTGGTACATTTCGAGGGAACGGAAATTTAACACTTTACCATGTCAATGGATCAACACGGAACAATAAAGGAAACAGAAAAACCATGAAAACGATGTTTTTATGCGGTTAGTGCTGGAGCCTTATAAACACGAGTGAAATACGGTAATAAATGCAAGCCGTGTGGAGGCGGGGTCGAATACCTCCACCGCGACCCTGTGAGTCGTAGGAGGCTACGAAAAGAGGTCTCAAATCTGAGACAGTAAAATATTGTCTCGAGTTCCGAGGGACATGGAAATTAAAGTTCACACTCTCTGGATTTTAGCGTTAGATGGATTTGAGCGTTGAACTTCAATTTCTGGCTATTTCATTTCCGCCGCCGTTTTGTGGACCCCAAGATTCACTGTTGTAGCAAAGAAGTTGAGCCACTCTACCAGGAAATGAACTTGGACCACTCTTGGCCCATAAACATAAATTTTCTTTGTTCAGTCCAGTCCTACAGAACTTCAAGTACACTATAATCTGTCATCAGCCAAAGGAGTCCAATAGATAATTTTGTGTATTCAATTATAGCTTGTCCCAGTTAAATATTCAAACTTCTGGCTGAATACGAGTTTTACTTTCTCTTCTTATTCAGCAGAGCACTGACCTCGGATAACATATGCAAGGTTTCGAAATACAGCTTCAGTAGGCCCACTTACTTCTTTTACGGCTTAGGCCGTAGTTCAAACTGCTCAGGGCCCATACGTTCGGTCTGATATTTCTTCTTTACAGTCAAATAACTTCTCTTTTCCATGGTGTATATGTCTAAGTAAATTTAAGAATTGTATTGGTTGTTATCGTCCACAGATCATTAATGCATTTCTTTCTGTCGTAAATTATTTTGTGCTTACTCTTTATATGATATGTGTAGTTCTTTCTTTCTATCCTCATTTATTTTCTTGTCCAGTGAATAGGGATTTGTCCGTTACTGATTTCTTGAATCTCATCTTTAAAATTGTTACTCTCTTTAGACCTAGTTAGACCAATTTCCACATTTAATTTCAATTAATACCCAATGTTTTTCATCAATCTCCTTTATATCTGAAAACTTAATTTCATTACAGTCCTATCAAATAATCTTACTTTTTTTTTCATTGGCGCTACAGCCCTCATTTGGGCCTAGGCCTACCTCCATGAAACTCTCCGTTTCATTTCGGTTTACTAGATCTTACACATACGGTAGGACTCCTTGGGCGGATGATCAGTTCGTCGCAAGGCCTCTACCTGTAGACAAACACAGAAAAACGCACACAAACATCCATTCCTTGAGTGGGATTCGAACCCACAATCTCGGCTTCCGAGCGAGCGAAGACAGTGCATGCCTTAGACCGCTCGGCTGCCGTGACCGGCAATCCTGCTTTTTACCAATGTAAATACAACTTTAAAAAGACATTAGGAATATGCTGTTCACTAAAAATGCATTTCAATACTATGACAGTTCAAATCAATAAAATGCCGGTAGGCCTTTATGCAGTACATAAATTTACATATTAGAAGTGAATGTTCACACTTCTCAAATTGTCTTGGTTTTACGTGTATTTTTACTAATTTATATTCACAACATGTTTCGGCCTCTTTGTGCCATCATCAGGTGAAATCTATCCTCGAGTGAGACCACTGCACTGTATTTGTTTCCCGTGCTCCTCTCGTGCAAGTCTTTATTTTACTTCATGCTGGTTGTTAAATTTAATTTTATCCAGCTGTTTTGCGGCTATCAGTTTGTCGTGTTTCCCTATGTCAGTGTCCCAATTGTGGTCTACTAGTATACTATATAATATTATCAAATAATAGCCGTCGCCTGGTGATTCTTCGTCAAGAGCTGAGGCGTGCGTAGTGTCCCGTGACATGTAGCTGGCTGTTTCTGAATGATGAATTTGAAGGATGCCGAAGGAAACGGACGTGATTTCTTAACGTATTCTCTTGATATTCGCCTGAAAAATGTCAGCACTTCGGAAATCGTGGAACATTGTAACGTGTATCCGGACGGGAGTCGAACCAGGCGCACTCTCGCTGAGTCAACCTGCTCGTGAGTGACAGAAGCTGTGCTGTATGCGATCTGACAAAATTATGTTCGCGACTGTCTTACAATTTCAGTATGTCGATGTTCCAGAATCAGATGTCTCCGTGGGGGGTGAGACGTCAGCAGAGGACGAGCCACTGCAGAGAAAGAAGCGGTCCATTCTTCTGCTAAAGGCGCTGGCATTCGGGAAGGGATTGCTTATTGGAAAATTGGCGGGCCTTGCTGTTGGGTAAGCAGTATATCATTGTGTCATTTTAAATTATATGTATCTGTTGAGTAGGATTTTCTTCTTTCTTTTCTCTCCTTCTTCGTTTCCTTTTACTTCTTCCATATCCTCCCCCTCGTCTTAAGGTTGTTTTAATTATAATAATTGTTCTTCTTCCTCTTTTTGTCTTCTTCTACTTCCTCTGCCGTCTCTTCCTTTTGTGCTTCCTCATCCTCTTTCGTGCCTTCCTCTTCTTTATTTTTGCTCCCTCTTATCCTTCTTTGTGCTTCCTAGTCCTCTTCATATTCTCACGTATTTTAGGGTGTGTGTGACTATAGACGGAGTACGGATTGGTGAATGAATTTATTGGCCACTTGTGTACACCACTCGGGGCTGCACTTTACAGATCACTGAAACACACAGACTAGTGTCCTCAGTCTATTACAGTTTCCACTATCCGTTTCCTGACAACGGCTTCTACCGAAGGAGATTCTTCAACCTGCCGCATTCGGGTTCTTTTGTCACAGCCACCCGTTCAGACCTTGTCAACTATCAACCGGCAACTCAACGAACTGGATCCCAGGCTGGGGTCCATTTCACACCGACCTCGTAGTCTTTTCTTTACAGGCCGACCTTTAACTGAACTTCTCTGTCAACTGAAGTCTCTCACTCACCAACCAGTTACTTCACATACTTCACACAACTCCAACTCCGGAAATCGACTGACCCTGCTTATAATATTTCGGCACGAACCAAATAGAAAACACCTTTGCATTTTCACAGTCTGACAATACCTCGACCGTTGCATAGAAACGAATGTTTGTTTATTCGCCTTTTGCATGACGATAGCTGTTGTTTACAGAGTCAACGTTTAGCAACGGGTCTACACGCCACAATATTGTCTCTTTGTTTCGCTCTTTTTATAGACCTCCTCGTTCTTTGTTCTTCTTCCTGCCTGTTATTGTTGTCCTATAACTTTCTGATCTCTTCCACTACTGCAATGATTAGTTCCAAGGCCCTTAACTCACTATAATCGATTTGACTATTTATTCTCTCCTCCCTATTCTTTTTATGTTTTTGCCTTTATGGCTTTCTTTCTCCATTTTCTCTTCTTTTTGCTTTTCTTTCAGCTTGTTCGGAAATATCTGATTAAACTAGAGGATTCTTGTTATAAGTTTTAATCCTTTTTCTTTGCAGGGCGCACTTAGGCTACTACGGAGGCATCTATGACGGGTACTACAAATATGGAGGCCATGAGGGTGACGCTAATTATGGTGATTATAAAGGGCATGGCGGTTACGAACGGCGTGACAGTTATGGAGGACATGGCGGCAGTGAAGGGCTTGAAAGTTATGGAGGGCATGGAGGTTACAAGGGGCGTGACAGTTATGGAGGGCATGGAGGTTACAAGGGGCGTGACAGTTATGGAGGGCATGGCANGATATAAGGGGGAAGGCAGTTTGTTGAGGCAGAATTCTACAAGCTGGAAGGTTGCGGTTTCGATTTCCGACGGGGTTACTAAATTTTTCATTAGACATAAGTCTTCAAACTGCACTATGGCCCTGGGGTCGACTCAACACTAACAGAAATTAGTAACGCATTAGGCTGACAATCTCACCGCCATCTGTGAGCCGATTGTCTGCAACAATATGGGAAATTCAATATCTCACAACCCTATGGGCCTCCACGGCTCTTTACATGGATAGCTTTACTTTTTTGCTTTACTGCATGATGTGAAACATACACGTAAGTGGCCTGTAACTCTGATTCCATTGACTCTCCATATACTATATTTTTAATGGAATCTTCGTATAAGACCTCGGCTCAGTAACCTGTCTACAGGTTTTAATCTCTTGGTTAGATCCGTAACAATAAATTAACTATAAAGTGTGAGCATCAAAGCAACGGAGTTATAGAAAAATATCAAAGAATGCAGATCGTAATTCTACATACCACTAATTGCTTATGAAATGCATGAACTGTTAGGTGATTCCCATTATGTTGTAATATCACTTCTAGCCTAAGATAGCTGACTATGGGATTAGCTAAGTACTGGGTCTGCCCTGAAATATGATAATTAATCATCTGGCCAATATACTGTCTGCTGCTACAAAACCCGAACAGTTATCACCGTGCTCATAAGATCCCAGGACTGGACCATACTCTCAAGAGTTCCGTTCATTTCAGATCTTCACACTCTCTTTCCCCACGGTCTATTTTAGAAATACCCTCCTTTTATGCCTAGGTCTCACAAGTTGTCTTTTCCTTTCATGAATTCCTAGCATTCTGTGTGCATTTGTCATTGTTTCAATGCGTGCTACATCCCCCTCTCCACACGGCCGTTAATCTCGGTTTTCTAGACCGGAGATATTACCTACAAACCAAGCTAAATTAAAAATGCATGTGGAGTCCCCATGTGACCGCGAGTCTCAACCTCTTAAGCCCAGAATGAACAAACCTTTGTTTAGCAGGGGCACTACCAAGGTACCAATTAAGAAATCTTTTTCTCTTTGATGAAAATTGTCCTACAGTTGTGCTCATAGTTAATTTAACATTTGGGGCACGCGCTAGCGTATTTGCTTGAGGCACTATGCTACAAGCCGGAAGGTCGCGAGTTCCCTATGAGTTCACTGGATTTTTCAATTTACCTAATCCTTCCAGCCGCACTATGGCCCTGGGATCGACTCAGCCTCTAACAGAAATGAGTACCAGGAATATTTCTTTGAGTATAAATGCTGCCGGCACGTAAGGCTGACAAATTCACCGCCATCTCTGTGCCGATTGTCCAGAAAATGTGGGCGCCTCGACGTCTCACAACCCTATGGGCCTCCATGGCCTGTTACAAAGATAGCTTTACGTAATATTTTTCCTTTCCTTAACTTAGATTTTAACATAATAACAGGAGTAATAGGTAATTGTCGCAGCCTCCTCAAAGGAAAAGAGGTATGCCTGCGAAAGGCCGTGGAGGCCCATAGTTTTGTGAGACGTCGAAGCTTCTACATATTTTTCGAGACAGTCGGTTCGCAGATGGCGGTGAGTTCAGCCTTAAGGGCCGGTTTCCCTTTACCCCCAGGAAGATTCCTGCTACTCATTTCTGTTAGAGGCTGAGTCAACCCCAGAGCCATAGTGCGGTTGGAAGGGTTAGCTCAATTGAAGAACCCAATTATCTCATCAGGAATCGATTAATCGATTCCGCGACTTTCGTGACTGTAGCACAGTGCCTGAACCGACTACGCGACCGCTTGCCCCTCGCATAACTCGACATCACGAAATGTCACATTCAGATCTTCGAAGCTACCATCCTTCTGCCTCACAAACAGTGAAAAGGCTCAGGCCTGCTACTCCTTTCCCACACATCAAGTGGAATCTTCTTCAGCGAAGCTCAGCTACCAGCTCGACAGTCTCTTGAGATCATTGCTGGCAAAATTGTATCATAGGATCGTGGAGGGTACACAGCTAAGAGCGCACGTCATATAGTACCGTATTTACGCACATTTTTTGCCAAAAATTTCAAGAGGAAAACTGGGGCGCGGCTTATATTCGAAATATTCGAAATCACACTTCATTTAAAAAAATTATATTCATAATTAGTAGTACAGAGTGTTCTACTCCTGAAATAATATTCCAAGAAAATTATTTTTTCTATAATTTCTGTCTGAAAATTGTGCTGCGGCCTATACACGCACGCGGCCTATACATGCGTAAATACGGTAATTCTGGCGACACTTTGCATTTGTGCATTTCATGGAAATAAGGCATAATAATGAATGCAGATGCAATTTTTGTTTATATCACCTTTGTTTCAGGTTCGGTAGATGAAACCTTACATCACCATGGGCTGTTCAGTATGAATTGCAGGCAACGAGAGAATCGTGTCTCACAGATCGAGATGTCGTGGATGCTGTTTGTATTTCAGGACTTGAAATTGTGCCACATCTGTTTAATTTTTCTGTGCTGAGTTCTGTTTAGTAAACATTTTATATCTTAATTTTGTGTATCCGTGGTAAACTTTCACTTGCAAAGAGACACGATGTATAGACCTAAGAAGAGACGGCAAGTTCAGTGTATTTTAACGGACATTTCTGAATACCAAATATTTTCGAAGCAGCTGGTCAGCTCTTTGAGAGGAGATATCCTCTTTACAACAGAGACATTGCTATGCAGTACAACGTACTGTAAAGTCTGTCAGCCATTACTGCCAAGGAACGATCTTTGAAAATATCGAAGAGGATTCTCAGTAGTTACGGTAGTTTGTTTACTAATGCGCAGAACATTTTGTTTCATATAGAAATAGGATGTAGGATATGAAAGCCATCATTGTATGGGTTCAGTACGTGCACTATACGCTAGAAATAAGAATTTTGCAGTGCTGTGATAGTACTCGTAGACAAATTGTAACGTCTAACAGCAGTGATGTAAAGTAAAAGGACTTCATCCTGGCCTCCAGAACGGCCCTGTTGCGGAACAGTGTAATTATTTCTCTAGCAAAACATCTCTTAGGTTTTCATCATGATAATACTCCACCAGCTCGGGATGAATGTCTTCCTTTGAGAAGCCAGAGAAGCCTCCCGGCAATCATAACGGGAAAGCATAGAAATTACTCTCTTCATAGTCACTGTTAATTTTCCAGAATTAGTTCTGATCTGCCTTTTCTATAATTTCCGTATTATCATGAGTACCGTTCGCCTACAACATCTCTTTTTGTGCTCGATCATGGACCAGCAGCTAACTCAAGGAAATGCACGCAATAACCGTATTTCTACTACAAAATCAAATTTAACTAAGGGCACAACTGATAAAACGACTGTATAAAATTCATTATGTTCATTTGCCCGTTGCTCCAGCTCCCAGCGTTGAACAAAGCAGCTTTTTCCAAAATGAGAGCTGCTCCCCTCCCATCCCACAATTGCTGTAGAAAAAGTGGCAGATATGAAATTCTGAATTAACTCCAATTTTGAAAGCCCACATTAAATTACAAACATATTATTTAATAGGAAAAAATTTTATTAGAAATTGTTAAGGTTCTTTGGTAACTATTTCCCTTAAATTGCTAAATGGCATTATTGTCACTGTCACAGATGTCAAGGCCTGCATGTTAGTCACGCCATCTCAACCTCAGAGAGTTCTAGAGTCACTGTTCTAATGAGTACCACAGAGAATGTACCCTTTAGTTTAACGTGAAGATAGTGACACAGGCAGTCTCCTGAACGTCACCACCCTTTTATCCAGATAATGGGTAAAGCCGAGAGGAAAAATTTCTTAAGTAATTCTTCTAAGATTCATACTGCATAATTAAGAACTTAATGCAACGACAGAGTCAGACTGCAGCTGTAACATAAAGGATTAGCCTACTTTAAGTTGGACATAATTATGATTTATGTATTGCAAATAACGAACTGAAAATACGTGTAGCATGGTCGTGATGCACGTCTACAAACTTGATTGAGAAGTGGTTACCAACTGGAAGGGAAGAATATTTCCTTCGTCACTGCGTTCACTCTGGCTCTGGGTCCCACTTATCTTGCCGTGGGCTTTCCCCGTGGGTGGTTTTAGTCCGTAAGCGAACTATACCGACCGAGCTACCGCCGCTTGTCGGTGAAGTTAGTGCCAACTTTGGCTAAAAGAGGGTGTCGCGTGGTCAGCGCAACGAATCCACACGGCCGTTAATCTCGGTTTTCTAGACCGGATTCGCTATTATCTTGAAATAGTTCCGGAAGTATCCTCACGACCCTGTTCCAGACCCACTACTTCTCAGAAAATCTTATAGCGCCGGGAATCAGACCCGGGACCTCTGGATCTGTAGCCAGGAACTCTGACCACTGGACCACAGAGGCGGTCCAGTACTATTTTACAGCAAAACAACTTCTCAAGTCACATGCGCTGTACGCACCTGCATCAACCTGAGTGGAATGTCTCCGAGTAGGTTAGTATAGTGATAATGCTGAAGACGTGTATTTCGTGTGAACCCGACTAAAATCTTTGCCGTCTCAGCGGTTATCCTGACTAAGATGTCTCCTCATGACCTCATCGCATCCTTCCAGTTTGTCATGCGCTCGCCATGAACTCCTCGGCTGAGAAGCAAAGTTGCTTTACCGCGAGTCAACCTGCTTGTCTAACAGAATGTAAGCCGTGATAAATGGTCTCGAGGTACACGTACAATATGAGGATGTTCCGTGTGTGACCCAGTCTCTAGAGAAAGCGAATGAGCCTCTCCACAGCGCACATTGCGACACCCGACAGGAGCTGTTCGCGGGTGGCAATTAAGGCTTTATGACTGTCAGACAAAACAATTTCGAAAGGCTTGCCTCAGGTTAAGTGTCGGAATTGCGAATTTATAACTTGATATGAAGAATGCAGAAATACTACGTTCATCAGCTGACTTCTTCATCATAGCCTTGGTTTTCTTGCCGATACCTCACCGCTGGCATATACAGGGTGTCCCAGGAG